ACTTGGCGGCTACTGTACAAATAAGTCAAGGCACTTGCTTGTATGGAGTTCAACGCTGAGCTATGCGCGCGTATTTTGTCTACATACATACATACATACATATGTACTATATACTTATGAGCTTTGTGAAGTGGCTTGGCGGCCGTACATCGCTTTTGTATTCGATTGCAAACTGAAATTATATTAATCATATTTACATATTTTTTTCCACCCAATTATAAATTTTTGTTTTCGATTTTTCGCTATTCTATTTATTTTCCAATACATAATAAAATTTTGTGTGGTTTGGACGTCGGAAATGGGGGAGGTGGGTGGTGATGCGCACTTGCGCTCTATAAGGAAATACGTCGACTGTGCGGCTGCGCCATTTCAACAGATTGCCATAGTCGTCATCAACGTCGCTACGCCCTCCATAATGGGGCTCCAGTTGGTAGCGGTGTGGCTGCGCATAGCAATATTCATACGTCAGTGAGTGGATGACGATTGGGCCGAGCTGTGGTGGTTGCCTTTTTGAGCCCATTGAGCTTCTGAGCTTGTGAGCTGACTCTGACTTTGAGATTTCTGGCGTATTTTTCATATGTTTGTTTGTATGTACTGTTGCTCACTGTGATCGCTGAAGGTTGTGACGCGGGTGTCCGCGCCTGCCAGTGTCCGTCGCATTCTCGTGCTCGTCAGTCCGCTTTGACGTGGCTTGCCAGCGTAGTTCCAAAATAAAGGAATGTGCCAAGTTGTGGTTTGTCGCGCCACGTTGCTGGTCAACTCGACGCATTGATTTGCGTATTTTCGTCTATCAGCCTCAATAGGCTTCACTATATTAAATACGCGTCAAATTAAGTTGACGCGTTGTCAATATATATATATGTATATATGTAGTTTCTAGTGCTCATTGACAGCGGCTTCTACATTCTCACTAGTCGCCTAGTCGCATTACTTAGTCAATCGGATTGGAAAACGGTGGACGTGGAGTAGTTAGTGAACTATTGGGCAATCGCTTGTGGTGCTTGTTGCAAAATTATTGAACGCGCCTCAATTGAGTATTGATCGATCGGTGTTTTGCTGTGGTCGGTTCGTCGATGGCAGAAGATGTAGAATATTTTTCATATTTAAAAATATTAAAGTATTTGCCAATGTAGCTCATTCACAGTCAAGTGTGGCGGCAAGCGGCAATTTGAATAGTTAATTAACACTCACTCAGTTCCATCGTTCGCCCGCCTGCCATACATATTTAAACCAACCACACCCTTTCGTAGTTATTTATACCTACATAGTATGTATAAATAATTTCCTTACAAACTCGCGCGTGTACATAAATATTTGTTTTTTAAATAAATTGTTCTGTGCATTTAATTAAAGTGTGAAATGTTTTCGTATTGAATAAAAAGTGTCGACTTCCATTCGAAAAAATCATCCGCTCTGCCAGCAGCACTCAGTTCTACTACATTCCGATGTTATGATGGGTCCGTTAGATGCGGTTTTGAGTTGTTTTTGCAGAATGTGTCAGTCAACATGTTGTAGTAGGTGTGTGTATATGTGTATTGCTAAATTTGGGGCGTCGCGCATTGGCCGGAAGTGTGTTGTTTTTTGATGTTTTACTCCTACTTACTTAGTAGTGGGTGACTTAAGTAAACTACTAACCCTGTCTCCGGCCTCTTAGTCTCAAAAAAAAAAGAAAATTATGGAGGGAAAGATAAGCAAGAAAATATTTGTTCAACAACAATTTCATAAACCAAAATAATATAAAAATTTGTGGAATAAAAGAAGCATTAAAATCTAACGATTATTAAAAAAAGAAAATAAAATTAAACCAAAAAAAAAACCCCGCTGCCCGAGGAGGACTCGATCTTGGATCTCACGAGTGGCGCTCTAGTGATTTGCCCACTCGGCTATTGCGACTATTCCGGCAGTGGGAGTAAAAGGCATACATTCATGCTATCAGTTGACTGTCTGTGTTTGTTTTCACCACACATTTTTGGTGAACTTCTTATGACTCTGAATACCCGAATCATCTCAAGTCACAAAAAGAGGCACTAACAGGGCAACTCTGGCGAAAATACCTCATTTGCGCCGGACACTAAAATTTTAAATTTACTTATCATCTAAGCTTGAAACGGCCATAGGCGCTCTAATCATGTTTTTCCCACCTTCTCTTACATTTTGTTGCAGCTCCCAACCGCCGCCCAATTTGACAGTATTATCGCGACATCAACAACAACAACAACACCAGCAGCAACAACAACAACAACACCAACTCTACCACTCACAATCGGCTGCTATTGCTGCAG